TGAGGAGCTTGACGAATCAGTCTATAGAGATGGCATTAATAGACTGGAACACCGCTATGAGAAATGTATCAGCCTTGGAGGAGATTATGTTGAGAAATAAAAAAAAAAAATTTTTAAAAACCTTGTTTTTCTTGGTCAGGCCGGAAACTTATCAATCCACCCTCGTAGTAGATATGAATACATACTTGAAAGAATACGTCAAATAATAAGAGCTCCTCGGAAGTTTCGCAACTCTGAAGCTATTTCTAGAAATGCACTGATTCTACTGATTATATCTAATGCGATAACTATGATAGTTAAAATATAGCAGTCAGACTGGTTTTAAGTGCCTACTTAATTTTGATAAAGAACTACTTTTTAAAGATAAAAACTATTATTTGTGTGTATATAAAAGAAATTTGTTCTGTTCGTTAATAATACAATTGGTGAATCCACTTCGAGAGTGTTCATTTATAAAACTTCTTTAACATGAAAGGTAAGTGACTCATTTATCATAATAAATAGCACCAACAGGGCACAAACTTTTAAATAATGAAATATCTAATGCTTCAGTCATGGTAATTGTCCAGAATTCGGGCTCCAGACCAAAATCGCTCCAAAAAATTTTTCATCGATTTTCGGTTGTTCTACATAATCGAAATAGATATTAAAAGTAGGGGAATTAAGATAATTAAATAAAATTCTGGATAATTACCTGCATTGGTGACGTCATCATGTGGATAGGTAGATTTATGATAGATTGAAGTTTATTTAATGCGCTTGAAATGTTACAATATTTTATTAACAAAAACCATTAGTTTTATACACTTCCTAGTACAATATCGGAATTTCATACAATTCTTAATATTGGAGCTCCAGACCAGAATCGCTCCAAAAGTTTTTCATCGATTTCTGGTCATTCCTGAGGGTTCAATGATTATATTTGAGGCGGGGAGACACATTTATTTTTATTACAGTAACAATGACGTTACCAATGCAGGCAATTATCTAGAATTGGGGCAATTTTGAAAAATTATCATTCAAAAATTTTGGAGCCATTTTGGTCTGGAGTCCCAGTTTTGAACATTTAAACATTGAACATTGAACCTTATTCGTATTTTGCCGTAAGAAATGTACTCATTATCTCATCCATGAATAAATTAACATGCAGCTCTAGGGATGCTGACTGTTGTTTATTCGGTTGGGAAAACCGTGCCTTAACAAATTGTACATCTACATCCTGTCGCATTTAGCCTATTTGTTTCATAACGTACTTACTATCAAATTGTACAAGTTCAAACCTACGAAAGTCTTACCTACTTAAAAATATTTCATTTTTATAATTTCATTGTGAGTGATTGCACATTGCGCACCTAACATTTAAGAACTAATAATTATTATAATACATTTTGTATTACTTTAGGTGCTATTGTTCTTGCTTTATTTGCCATTTTGGCTACCGCTTGCTGTTATACAGACAGGGAAATCAGAATTAAACTTAACGGTAAGTTTTTCTTTACTGAATCATCAGCTGATTATTTATAAGAAATAATTCCTCTCAAATAAACAAGTTTATATTATAGTCATAAGTAAATTCTTCTTGTATAAACAATTAATGTTTTCAGTAATTTATTTATTCAGTTATTAGCAAAATAAGGTCTAAATTTCGCAATAATTCCGTGTTACACATGTTTTTATAAGTCTTTTGTATTGGATTTTAAATAATGTCAATTAAAAATGCATTCTCTTGAAAAAAAAGTCACATGTGTTAGTTTGTTTAATAACAATAAATCCGTTAAATATTAAAGTGAAAATTCATTTTCAATTTTTTTAGACTACCTCAGGTTAACGAGGGAAACTTTGTTGCTGTTGTCACGCTCTCGCCGGGAATCGAACCCGAACGCACCAATGCTCTGATTACTAATGTACGAGAGATGACAACAGCAATAGAGCATTAATGCGTAAAGCTAAAGATACCGGGTTCGATTCCCGGCGAGGGTGTTACAACAGCAGCAAAATTTCGCTCATTAACCTAAGGTTAGTTTATAGTGGTTAAAATGTTGAAAATGAATTTTCACGTTAATATTTGATATTAACCATTATTAACTGTCAGTGTTTCAGAAAATAAATTAGTGTAAAATAAGATGTAAAATTAAACATCGCGGATCTAAATCAGTGAAAAATTATGAAAATTGGTTTCTAGTGGTTTCTGATGTCAAATTTTAGAAATTCAAAATGGCGAACTTAAAATGGCCAATCGTGCAGTTTCACTTTCAGTAAGCAGGCGGCCGACGCAGCGTGAATTTCAATTGCTCAATTTCAATTAAAAAAACAAGTATACACAGAGGATTCCTTTGTTAATTTTCCTGTTTTTGCAAAAAAAAAGAAATGCATTATTACATGTAAATTGTTAAATAAAAAAAATACCCACTTTCTAGCTAATACATTTTAATATGTTATTCTTCACACTTTTTTAAACGTGATCCAAAAGGAATTATCGATCGGAGAATTTTTCCGAAGTAAAAATCTAATTCGGAATTTTACTATTGAGTTTGATATTGCATTATCCAGTTATTAAATCTCTACGATGCATTTGACAAAAATTTTGTCCTAAATTCCTACAGAACTTTGTGAGAAGCACGGTGATGGCTACCTGGTACCCGATGTTGCTGATTGTACTAAATTCTACGAATGCGTTGGAAATGATGGAACACATTTTCAACTCAGTTGTCCCTCAGGTTTGGTTTACAACAGTAACACTTATGCGTGTGACTACCCTGAAAACACCCAATGTTCTACAATCTTAGAAGATCTTCAATAATTTGTGCTGCTTTTTGTACACATAATATTGTATCTGTGACGAATTATGAGATGTATATAATAAATATGAACTGAAAAAGCAAGTAATGCAGTGTGCTGTCTTGAATAACCCTCCTTTCTTACTCTATTCATGTCAATACGAATGTGAGGACGGCAAACTCCCGGGAGGAGGTGTCGTACATTCGTTCCGAAACCCATGTACTCTACGCTGTTCCAATTTCTGATTCCAAGAACGGAAAAATCCAACATAACTTCTCAGGATGAACTAGTCCCGTGTACATTGAAATGTTTATTCAAGCGTTTGATAGGCTTTTGTATAGCGAGGGAGGGTGACCAGAAAGTTAATCGGTAACTGCGTATTGGGAGGTTACCTGAGCCAAACTAAACCAAACTAATCACACTTAAGTAATATCTATATTATAGACAATCTTCGATAGTAAACATTATCGTTATAGTATAAATCGTCAGATGTTGATGGCGAATTCGATTCCTTTGGATCTCATCAGCACTCCGTGGACAGTTACGATTTAAAGCCGACCAATTTACTTGTTGCCTTCTTCAACGATGACTATGTATTACCAAACAACTACAATCGAGTGTTGAGTGAATGCCAATATGTTAAAATATCTAGTGATCGTGAATTTGTTATGTCAAACATTAACGAACGAACTGCAAACAACATATTATTATATTCTGCAACTAGTTGTCATTAAAAAAATAAATAATTGATTAAGAGTTTGATTAAAGGTTTAAATATTCACGCTGTTTTCGTTTTTAATCAAAATCTCTAATTAGTAATTTTGATATATTCCGATTGGCAAATAACAATTTTACAATTTTATTCTTGCGTAAAACATCGTATGTCTGTAGGCAAGTATATATAGTTTGTCGGTCGGTCGAAGTCGTAGAAACAAAACGACATTTCAGTTTTATTCGTTTTAACCAGCAGATTGTAATCTATAAAACTATTTTAGGGGAAACAGAAGTGAAAAAAGTTTCTAGCAAAAAAAAACAACCTTAATCGTCTTTTCTTTTTCTCGTTTCTGGTTCATGTTAAAACATTAGCTACTCGGGATTTTTACGCCCTTAACGAATCTCTTTCGGCCGAATCTCTGCCATTTGCGGAACCTTTTTTTTTATTCTGCTGATAGCATAAAGAGCTGCCTTGGTTCATGACATTTTCTCCCTCTTCTGAGTTAAACAACCCCTTAATCGTTGTATTATGCAAATAATCTTTAGTTTTGGAACGACACTAACTTAACCTAACCGGGTTATCTCTTTTCATCAGTAATCTAAAATTATTGCTGTACGAGGAGAGTAGAATGTGGCTGTAATGAACCATAAAGGGAATGTGACATGCTTTGTACTTCGTGTCGGTTTGGCAAATGGCGTCGAAGTGCTATAATGTATCATTTAGAAACTCAAAACATCTCTGTATTTTTAACAAATGTATACAGGTGTAGATACTTACTACAAATTATATTACAGGTACCTACATTACTATCAAAAAGGTTCTAACAAAGAACTCTACATTCTTGGTCAGTCATACGAAATTTCGAATTGCATCATTAAATACAAAAGGTACGAAACTTCAAGGTAAACCAGTGCTACAGTTTTAATGAAGAAATGCTGAGAATTTTTCACCACAGATCTATGACAAGAAATAATCAAATTCTCTGACATTTTCAGCTAGTGTTGAGCAGGGGCGCAACAACGTTACAGTTTGGCTGGGTGCTCCCTTCATAGTACTATAAATATTTATATACTGCGGGTGTGTATAAGCTGAAAAGATCGAGTTCGGCTGCTCATTTACGAGCTTGAACTATTTAAATCGAACTTTCAAGTTGAGTTATTATCTGAATCGACTGGAATTGACTGGGTGCCCAACCCAATCGACTGGGTGCTTAGGCACCCGTGGACCCTCTTGTTGCGCCCCTGGTGTTGAGTGTGTCATGAGTTTATTTGAAAATTGTTATAGGATACCGCCGAGCTTCTTTAGCTGAAAACACACTCGGTAATTTTAGTATTTTTTATATTAAAAACATTAGCGGTAAACACACTCAATTTGAATTCTGCAAAAAGCAAGAGGAGGATTAAATGTTGTATGATGTATTCCATAAAGAATTTGTAACATTACTACTCTTGTTTTATTATACCACAAAACCTAACCATAGTCATGAGCAAAAGTGATCTTGGTCTTGGACGGAACTAAGGCTAAAACCAAGATCAATTATGCAAGACCAAACGAAAAATTATTACTTCCTGTGGGATTATGAGTTATTTGAGATTTTCAGTTTGATTTACTAGATTTTAACATTAAATATATATATATAAAAAAAAGAAACTGCCACTGGTGGAAAACAAGGGATCTACAAGAATATCCAAGGAGTTGATAAGTGTTCTTTGTTCCTATGTCTGAATAACACATGGTCGAAAATAGAGACAAACTATTATTTTTTTAGTTCTTTTAAGTACTTGTTCGTTAATAGGTTAATTTATGCTTTGGAGAAAGGGTCAATTTATGCATTAAAGGAAGTGTAATTTCTCAAGTTTTCAAAACTATCGACATTATTTTCTTTAAAAGTCATGACAAGATCGCATGATGACAGAAAAATTTAGTATTTAAGACAATTGTTGTGTCGGTAAATAGAAAAACTTCTCTTTAGAAAAATTAAGACTTAATGCGGAAGACCAAGAGTAAGACGGGGACTATATCAGCAAGACCAAAACTAAGACCGAATAAGTAAGTCTTAATCTTGCTTCGCTCATTATTACCTGGCCGACCAGACCTAAAGGGAGGATTTTTTGAATATTTTCGACCCTCCCTTCCCCCCTTGCAACGCGCCGTAACGTTTTTCAGTACCCTCTCTCCCTCTATAAACGTTACGTAACACTCAAGTGACAATTTTTATCCAAAAGTCGCAAAAGTTACGTTGTTGTTCTATAAACTTTTCTTTATTTTTTAGTTTTTCTTTAGACGTTTTTCAAATTTCGTTTGCAATTTTTTGACACAGTTACGCTAGCAAGTCAGCATGAGAGCCTTTATAGGCCAAGAACAGCTGATGATACAAATCTCCCTCTTTTGAGGACGTTACAGTATGAACACTATGAACTCACTTTAATAACATCGACTACAACAATGTGCTTCTGCATAAACGTTAACGAATACTGACAACAACATTAAATGACGTCCAATACAATCTAGGGATTCCCCGTAAGACGTAAAAGAAAAGGGTTGCCAACTTGGTAGTTTTAATTCCCTAATTTGTCATTAAAAAAAAGAAACAATGTTACGTAACGTGTTGTAAGAAAGACCCTCTCTCGCCCCTGTAACGCATCGTAGCGGTTTTACGAGACCCCCCCCCACTCCACCCCAATCGCGTTACGTAATACTCGAACGCCGCCTTTTCTTTAAATCTGACATTGACGAGGAGGATCTATATGCACAAGAAAACTGAAGAGCAACGATTGAATGGATTAGCTTTTTTTAAACGTGATCCAAAAGGAATTATCGATCGGAGAATTTTTCCGAAGTAAAAATCTAATTCGGAATTTTACTATTGAGTTTGATATTGCATTATCCAGTTATTAAATCTCTACGATGCATTTGACAAAAATTTTGTCCTAAATTCCTACAGAACTTTGTGAGAAGCACGGTGATGGCTACCTGGTACCCGATGTTGCTGATTGTACTAAATTCTACGAATGCGTTGGAAATGATGGAACACATTTTCAACTCAGTTGTCCCTCAGGTTTGGTTTACAACAGTAACACTTATGCGTGTGACTACCCTGAAAACACCCAATGTTCTACAATCTTAGAAGATCTTCAATAATTTGTGCTGCTTTTTGTACACATAATATTGTATCTGTGACGAATTATGAGATGTATATAATAAATATGAACTGAAAAAGCAAGTAATGCAGTGTGCTGTCTTGAATAACCCTCCTTTCTTACTCTATTCATGTCAATACGAATGTGAGGACGGCAAACTCCCGGGAGGAGGTGTCGTACATTCGTTCCGAAACCCATGTACTCTACGCTGTTCCAATTTCTGATTCCAAGAACGGAAAAATCCAACATAACTTCTCAGGATGAACTAGTCCCGTGTACATTGAAATGTTTATTCAAGCGTTTGATAGGCTTTTGTATAGCGAGGGAGGGTGACCAGAAAGTTAATCGGTAACTGCGTATTGGGAGGTTACCTGAGCCAAACTAAACCAAACTAATCACACTTAAGTAATATCTATATTATAGACAATCTTCGATAGTAAACATTATCGTTATAGTATAAATCGTCAGATGTTGATGGCGAATTCGATTCCTTTGGATCTCATCAGCACTCCGTGGACAGTTACGATTTAAAGCCGACCAATTTACTTGTTGCCTTCTTCAACGATGACTATGTATTACCAAACAACTACAATCGAGTGTTGAGTGAATGCCAATATGTTAAAATATCTAGTGATCGTGAATTTGTTATGTCAAACATTAACGAACGAACTGCAAACAACATATTATTATATTCTGCAACTAGTTGTCATTAAAAAAATAAATAATTGATTAAGAGTTTGATTAAAGGTTTAAATATTCACGCTGTTTTCGTTTTTAATCAAAATCTCTAATTAGTAATTTTGATATATTCCGATTGGCAAATAACAATTTTACAATTTTATTCTTGCGTAAAACATCGTATGTCTGTAGGCAAGTATATATAGTTTGTCGGTCGGTCGAAGTCGTAGAAACAAAACGACATTTCAGTTTTATTCGTTTTAACCAGCAGATTGTAATCNATAGAACATCTATTTACAAGTTTTTTTTCTTTTTCAGTGGTTCTTGCACCTTCCACGAAAAACGACAAAAGTTCCCATTCCAGCTGCAATCGGTGGTTGTTGACTGTGCTAGTCGTAAAAACAATTGTCGGTTTATATTCGCAGCGGTGAAACTAATCGCTATAGCTTATGCTCGGTTTTTACTTGTAATTAATAACTGTCTAAAGGAAAATAAAATAATTACGATACCTGACATGATGCTGCTAGTTAATGTATATTTGTGTAAACTAATTAACTATGTCGAACAGATGATGTAAATTTATTGTATATAACAGATACATAAAAGGACGGATGCGATTGTGTGGATAAAGGCTGTTTATAAAAAAATTTAGATGAATTAATTGAAAAAAGGCTCAGTTACGCAAAGTTACCACGATTGTTTACAATTAACCTTTTCTAAGGCTAAAGGGTTCATATTTAGTGCATTCAGAACAAAAGAATGGTACAACCCATGTGATTTATTTGAAAGGTTTTAATTTGAAATACAAAGAATAAGAAATACAAATTTTAATTTCTACTTATGGTATGTTTAGAAAGTTTAGTTTCTATCTATGTTTGAAAGGTTTAATTGCTATCTACATATGTTTAGATAGTTTAATTTCTACCCATGTTTAGAAGGTTTAATTGCTATCTACGTTTAGATGGTTCAGTTTCTATCTATGTTTGGAAAGTTTAATTGCTATTTATGTTTAGGTGGTTTAGTTTCTATCTATGTTTTGAAGGTTTAATTGCTGTCTATGTTTAGATAGTTTAATTTCTATCTATGTTTGGAAGGTATAATTGCTATCGATGTTTAGATGGTTTAATTTCTATCTACGCTTAGAAGGTTTAGTTGCTATCTATGTTTAGATGGTTCAGTTTCTATCTACATATGTTTGGATAGTTTAACTTATGTTAATGTTATATGATAATTTAATTTTTATCTATGTTTGGATAACTTAATTTTAATCCAACTTTAGATAATTGATCTTCTATCTATGTTTTGAAATCTAAATCTATTTACTATTTTAAAAATAATTGTAAATGTCAATTAACAGTAACTTTCCAGTTTTTGCCGTGATAGCGTCAAATTAAGTTATCCTATCAAACATTTTCCCTAAAAATAGAATCCAAAATCCAGGTTATTTGGTATTACAATTTTTGTTTTGTTACGGGAAACACGAGCTGCTGTCGGTACATAAAATTATTAATACAAAGAAGACAGTACAAAATAATTCGAAGTGGTCTGTACTTTGTCGAAACTGCCAGACGCGGATCGCGATTTCGATCTATTTGGATCTCATCAGCGCGTCGCAGACAGCTCCGACAGAACACAGACGAACTTTTACCGGCTGTCTTAACAGCGCGTTTTAGAAAATACCAAAATGCCGCGGTAAACGTCATCTGTAGTACGATGCTACATTTTAGGATTACGTATGCTCCAACAAGGTCCGACAGAATACAGACCACTTCGAATTATTTTGTTCGATTATGGTAACGTGCCTATCACATTGAGGCTAGCTACGCCGGGATTCGTTTCAGCAAGTAGATATCCATATATTTAAATGGACCTTGTTGGAGCATACGTAATCTTAAAATGTAGCATCGTACTACAGATGGCGTTTACCGCGCCATTTGTGGTATTTTCTAAAGAAGATAGTGCTTCTAAAATATCAATAACTTGTTAAACATTATCAAAGAAGGTTTAACATAATATGTAAAGTACCTAATGATGCGATTTTGATCAAAATAGTGGTTCTTAAAGGTTATTGTTACAACTAGTGGTGAGCCATATTGGTCTTGGTCGTGCAGTCTTAGTACTGGTCTTGCGAAAATGCAAGACTGAAACCAAGACCAAAACTGCTTTTATAGTGACAAGACCAAGACCAAAACAAAATGAACAAGACCAAGACTAAAACCAATACAGAATGTGCAAGAGCAAGGTCAAATACGAAAGACTAAACGAAAAATTATTACTTTCGGTGGATTTTTGAGTTAAACTATTTGAAGCTACTTTAATATTTCTTTTTCTTGAAACAAAAACTTTGTTGTATTTGAAATTTTCAGTTCTTTTATAAGTTTTGGTGACTATTATTTTATCGCTATATTCTGTGGTGCTAAACTGCGTCGATACTGTGATTGCTTTTTTTTTAATGGAACACCACACGAGCAGAAAATAAAAAGGGTAGAGATCCGGCATCCCAGCTACCTTATTTATGGTACCAATAAGTAAATCTGACCAGGATCGGATAAAAAATATAACGTCTTAAAAAGGCCGGTCGAGAGAGGGGTACCTTATATGATCCATATCAGGCTACCCTGTATGATCCTGACTAGGTTAACCTACATAGAACAAATGAGGTTATCTTGTATGGTCCTGACTAGATTCATCTACACCAAGAATTTCAGAATATCCTGTACGATCTTGACCTGATTGGTCAAGATTAAAATAAGATTTAAGTAATTACAACTAATTATTAGTAATTAAATATTTCTTTTAGAATGTAAAATTTTGAACTTAGACACTCAAACTATGTAGGAATGTAAGATCTTATTATATTAATTAAAGTCCAATTCGTCGAGAAATTAAAGTTTTAATAATACATATTGACAAAGACGAATCAGGACAAGTAAGGGATTCCCTGAAAGGATTACAATAAAATAATATTATCAGGGCCGTACTGGGATAGATTAGGAATTTCGTATAGGTTTATAATACGGCAGTCAAGTTAGGGCCGGATCAGAATACCCTAAGAGGGGCTACGATAAGGCAACCAAGTCAGAGCCGTATCGGGATANACACTCAAACTGTGTAAGAATGTAAGATCGTATTATATAGTTAAAGTCCATATCGTCGAGAAAACAAAAAAGACAAGAAAAGTTCAATAATACATATATTGTCAACGATGCATCGGGCCAAGTAAGGGGTTCCCTGAAAGGATTACGATAAAATAATTTTATCAGGACCGTACTGGGATAGATTAGGAATGTCGTGTAGGTTTACAATATGGCAATCAAGTCAGGGCCGGATCGGAATACCCTAAGAGGACTACTATAAGGCAACCAAGTCAGGGCCGTATATGGATAGGTAAGGGATTTCATAACAAGAAACCCTTTTTACTAGCTGCTCGGGGCCTTATATAGATATCGTAGGAAAGCATCTCTACTACAGCCTGATTCGCTCCGGATGGCTATTAGGGCTACCCCTGTTCTACTCGAGCATCGATATCTTCTTGCACACTCATATTTTAAAATTTTACAAAAACTGCTCTAAACAAAAAGATTTACTTATTCTTTTATCTTAATCAGGTGTTTGAATTTTTTAAATTAATTGATTTATTAAAGACAGAAGCACACATTTACAAATCACATAAGTCACTAATGTTCAAAATTTCAATATATACCATATATAGGTACCATCCAGTCAAGTAAATGAATGTTTGTCTTGTTTTTATTGTGAGTTAACAATAACAAAAACTGATTAAACAATCTCAAATTTTGTGGCGAAAATAAAACCTATAGATTTGGTTAAATGATTAATTAATGCATTAGCGATAATTAATGAAACTCATTATCAGGAACAGTACACAACACCTACACGTATCTGCCGTAATAAAATATAAACAATAATACCTATCCTTTTATAGTTTAATTAAATTAATATCGTAAAATTATTCGCTGATAAAAGCTTTTAGTAGTAGGTAACTGATTCCGAATTACATTTTTATGGGTACTCGAAATACAAAAGTTCTTTATGGGTGCTTGAAATATAAAATGTTGAATCAAAATGAACATTCGGAAAATTTCGAAATACCTTTTGTCTGTAGCATTGGTAGTAATTTTGCGGAACTGTAAATTTAGGAAATGAATAAATATTAATTAAAAGTAAAGTGATTCGCTACTGTATGTACACATTGTTTGAGTGCTTACCTTTTTGTATTGCCTAAATAACATATAATTCATTTGAAAACATTTCAGCAATATAACCGCTCAAGTACCTACTGTCATTTAATTGGGTAAATTGTTAATATATTTTAAGTCTATATTTATATTATGTAGGTACGTATTTAAATTGAAAAATATGTTATTTCCATTAACATTACCATAAACTGTACCAAATGATTGCTATGCCATACAAATGTATTTAATTTTATTTTTCTAGGTTTTAAAATGTAGTATTAACAAGATCAGACTTAAAGAAAGAGATATAGTTACATAAGAAAAAGTATTGATAAATTATAATAAGTGCGTGTAGGTGCTTAAAATAATAGTAATAAAAAAATTAATTTTCGCAGTGATCTATTCATATACTCGCGAAACGAGTAGGTACACAATAGATCCAAAAAAAGATAATATATACAATAAATATTGAATGAAACTCTACTGTTAATGACACATAAGGCCTGGTGCACACTTGCTACAAGATCTATCAGGACGCTGCATCATAAAAAAAAAAAATCTCCGGACTATGCCGGAAGGTTGAGCGGAAGACCGTCTTCAGCCTGCTTTCAGGAATCGTGGGAATGGGTGGGTGGTGGTTCGGGTGAGAAAGTTCAGACGGACGAAATGAAGACAGAAAAGAGTGAAAGATTATCTGTGGAATATTACTGCCTCAGCGTGTGCCTAAGTGATCCAAGGAAAGAACAGAAAAACTTGGACCAAGGCAGACGAACCCGGAATCCAACCGGCGTCCTCCCGAATGCTAATCAATGGTCTAGACCTCTAGGCCATGCCGCTCGGTGCTGCATCATTTCAGTTTCCTTTCGGAGTTTCAATGCACTTACACTGTGATAGGCCAAAGCGACAGTCTCTCATTTGTTCAAAAACCGAAATGGATCGTACACGCGTTTAAATGTTTAAGAAATTCTATTCTTTGACGAACTTTTCGTCAAAAAAGTTTTTACTTGTTCGACATCCGAGTGGCATGGCCTAAAGGTTTAGTCCAACGCATAGAATTCGGGAATTCTGGATTCGTCTGCCTTGATCCAAGTTTTTGACGGTTTCCTTAGGCAAATGCTGGGGGCAATAATATTCCACAGATAATCTTCTTCATCTTCATTCACTTCTGTCTTCATATCATCCGTTCTATATTTCTTAGCCGACCACTACCCCTATTCCCACGATTTATGAAAGGAGGCTGAAGAGGGCCTTTTGCCCTACCTTCAGCATTAGTGGCTGGTGGGAATGAAACATCCAAATGTTAGTGATCCACATTTTTATCAGACATCGTGTTGAGAGGTTTCCTCAAGCTTGCTAGAACTACCAGGTATCGCAGTATTGGGATATAAGACGCATTTCTCACAGTCGGGAATCCGACACTACCCAGTCGTACGGACGGCTGGGTGTCTTCTGAAGATTTCCCCTCTTCCACGAAAACATAAAAAAAAAAAAAATTCTCACAGCTACAGTACCTGCGTCCACCTCGACAAGTCGAAAACAATTAAAAGCGAAGTCTTTAGCAAGTGTATACTGGATCTTAAAAGGGTGACCACGAGAAGAAAACACAATTTATTTCAAACAGTTAGAGATGTGACCTTGAGGATAGCTACTCGAATAGAAAGAATACATATTAGGCGCAACAAAGACAGAAATGGTTTGAATGAGATAAAATAAGATTGAATTAGAGATTTTGTCACGGCAGATCCAGGTAAAGGGAAGGGGCATAACCCTAACCGTTTGAAATGAGTTGTACAGCGTACATTTTGCAATAATTCGAGAATTATAGTTTCCTTTTTCTAATATATAAATAAAACACTGAAAAAAATAAACAAGGTATATTTAGTAACGATCAATTGCCATGTTTTAGGTATGTGGTTTTGTTTTTCTGATACTG